TCTAGATAGAACATGGTGTGGTGACTAAGTCTAGATAGAACATGATGTGGTTAAGTGTTCCATCTAGAACATGATGTGGTGACTTAGTCTAGACAGAACATGGTGTGGTGACTTAGTCTAGATAGAACATGGTGTGGTGACTTAGTCTAGATAGAACATGGTTTGGTGACTAAGTCTAGATAGAACATGATGTGGTTAAGTGTTCCATCTAGAACATGATGTGGTGACTTAGTCTAGATAGAACATGGTGTGGTTAAGTGTTCTATCTAGAACATGGTGTGGTGACTTAGTCTAGATAGAACATGATGTGGTGACTTAGTCTAGATAGAACATGATGTGGTTAAGTGTTCTATCTAGAACATGATGTGGTGACTTAGTCTAGATAGAACATGATATGGTGACTTAGTCTAGATAGAACATAGTGTGGTGACTAAGTCTAGATAGAACATGATGTGGTTAAGTGTTCCATCTAGAACATGATGTGGTGACTTAGTCTAGATAGAACATGGTGTGGTGACTTAGTCTAGATAGAACATGGTGTGGTGACTTAGTCTAGATAGAACATGGTGTGGTGACTTAGTCTAGGTAGAACATGGTGTTGTTAAGTGTTTTATCTAGAACATGGTGTGGTGACTTAGTCTAGATAGAACATGATGTGGTGACTAAGTCTAGATAGAACATGGTGTGGTGACTTAGTCTAGATAGAACATGGTGTGGTGACTTAGTCTAGATAGAACATGGTGTGGTGACTTAGTCTAGATAGAACATGGTGTGGTGACTTAGTCTAGGTAGAACATGGTGTTGTTAAGTGTTTTATCTAGAACATGGTGTGGTGACTTAGTCTAGATAGAACATGATGTGGTGACTAAGTCTAGATAGAACATGATGTGGTTAAGTGTTCTATCTAGAATATGGTGTGGTGACTTAGTCTAGATAGAACATGGTGTGGTGACTTAGTCTAGATAGAACATGGTGTGGTGACTTAGTCTAGAGTCTAGATAGAACATGGTGTGGTGACTTAGTCTAGATAGAACATGATGTGGTGACTTAGTCTAGATAGAACATGGTGTTGTGACTTAGTCTAGATAGAACATGGTGTGGTGACTTAGTCTAGATAGAACATGGTGTGGTGACTAAGTCTAGATAGAACATGATGTGGTTAAGTGTTCCATCTAGAACATGATGTGGTGACTTAGTCTAGATAGAACATGGTGTGGTGACTTAGTCTAGATAGAGCATGATGTGGTTAAGTGTTCAATATAGAACATGGTGTGGTGACTAAGTCTAGATAGAACATGATGTGGTTAAGTGTTCTATCTAGAACATGATGTGGTGACTTAGTCTAGATAGAACATGATGTGGTGACTTAGTCTAGATAGAACATGATGTGGTGACTTAGTCTAGATAGAACATGGTGTTGTGACTTAGTCTAGATAGAACATGGTGTGGTGACTTAGTCTAGATAGAACATGGTGTGGTGACTAAGTCTAGATAGAACATGATGTGGTTAAGTGTTCCATCTAGAACATGATGTGGTGACTTAGTCTAGATAGAACATGGTGTGGTGACTTAGTCTAGATAGAGCATGATGTGGTTAAGTGTTCTATCTAGAACATGATGTGGTGACTTAGTCTAGATAGAACATGATGTGGTGACTTAGTCTAGACAGAACATGGTGTGGTGACTTAGTCTAGATAGAACATGGTGTGGTGACTTAGTCTAGACAGAACATGGTGTGGTGACTTAGTCTAGATAGAACATGGTGTGGTGACTTAGTCTAGATAGAACATGGTGTGGTGACTAAGTCTAGATAGAACATGATGTGGTTAAGTGTTCCATCTAGAACATGATGTGGTGACTTAGTCTAGATAGAACATGGTGTGGTTAAGTGTTCTATCTAGAACATGATGTGGTGACTTAGTCTAGATAGAACATGATGTGGTGACTTAGTCTAGACAGAACATGGTGTGGTGACTTAGTCTAGATAGAACATGGTGTGGTGACTTAGTCTAGATAGAACATGGTGTGGTGACTTAGTCTAGATAGAACATGGTGTGGTGACTTAGTCTAGATAGAACATGATGTGGTGACTTAGTCTAGATAGAACATGGTGTGGTGACTTTGGTATATATAGAACATTCTGTGTTGGCTTGCTCTGCTTAGAACATTGCGTGATGACTTGCTCTATCTAGATTCTAGAACAGTATATTGACATTTTACACACAGTCTACCACTTTTATATAATGGACACTGCACATGTATAACTATATAATATTTACTAGCACCTGCTGTCAGTATATAAATAGTCGCTCTTTAAAAAATAAGCCGAAAATAGCTGTTGTTTTAAAATTATTTTTTTTACGGAGTTATTCTATAACAAGGTCCATTCGAACAGTGGCGTAGCGAGGTCGGGTGTCACCCGGTGCGGCACTTAATGGTGTCACCCCCAGAGGCGCAGCGACCTTTCCCGGCGTCCGGGGACAAACTTTAAATTTTCGATTTGCACCCCCCTCAAACTTTCAATTTGCACCCCTCCTGAAACATAAACTTTCGATTTGCATTCCCCCCCCCCCCTCTCCACCCTTGTCGGGATTGGTCAAATTTGCTCTTAAAAGACTATTTAACACTCTAATTAATCACTTAATTAAGTGGAATTATCATTTTTCTCTATATATTTTGCTATTTTTTGCCTTGGTGTCACCCCCCTAAATGGTGTCACCCGTTGCGGTCCGCACCCCCGCCCCCCCCCCCCCTCGCTACGCCACTGCATTCGAAATTTGAACCTCACACCATGGTTGTTGATTGGGGTTGGAGAAGGGGCTGGGCTATATCTCCTGTTTCTACCTCACAATTAGAACAACGTTACGCTTGGTTTCTGTGGCGTGTCTGTAACAAACACGGTCAATGTCATTCTAAGGAGGTAAATACTAGTCAAGGCGCATAACTCATACTAGTTCTTTGATATATTCTCTTCATTCAGTAAGGTAAATGTGTTTTTCTGTTATTGACAGTTTTGAATCTCTATCCTTCTATCTAAATAGTATATATATATATATATATATATATATATATATATATATATATATATATATATATATATATAGGCCTATATGTATATATATATATATATATATATATATATATATATATATATATATATATATATATATATATATATATATATATATATATATAATTATATATATATATATATATATAATTATATATATATATACATATATATATATATATATATATATATATATATATATATATATATATATATATATATATATATATATATATATATATATATATATATAACACATATATAATCGGTATTCGTATTAATTTTTACTTCAAGCAATACAGATAGTCTAGCGTGCTGCTATTACGTATAACTCCATGTAACTCTGAAATCTATAAACTATTCTTGGTTACAGTACTAGTACGGAAAAGACCTGTCCAGTCAATCTCAGTGATTTAAAATAAAGCAATGTCGAGCAGCGTGAAGAATCCACTGCAAGACAAACTGGAAGAGACCATCCGTCACACTCTGGTGGGCTTGGCTCTGTCCATGTCCTATGAGCTGGGGATCTTGGAGGCTCTGGTCATGTCAGATACGCCCATGACGTCACTGGAGATAGCAGACGCGAAGCAACTGAAAGAGAGGTGAGTAACATAGGGTTCGATAATGCTGCATGTTTTATCTTTCAACTGTTGAAGTTTAGAAGACTCCCAAATATGAGAGTTAGGGTCTTTAAATCAACCTTTGAAAATGAACTTAAATCTGCCGCAAATACTTTGATTAAATAAATGGCTACACTATGGGGTCAGCCATGTGTGTGTGTGGCGGTTCATTTCACCTGGGACCAGCTAAGGGTTGTTGTGAAGGGGGGTGGGGGGGGGGGGGGTGGTCCGAACCCGCAGCTTACGGGATGGATGACAAAATCTTTCCAAGGCCTCGACGCCACATACCATGGGACTGTGTGGCCTAGCGGTAGAGCGCAAGACTGATAACTCGAACGTTTCGAGTTCGAATCCCTGTTTAAGTCGGAAGGTCCATGAGTCCACTCAGCTCTGATGGGTACCTAACTCACTTTAGCATAATGCTGACCACATTCTTCTTTCATTTGCCGAGGTCAAGAAACGTATGGACTCTAATTCTTCTGCCAAACGGATCACAAGGTCTAAAAAAAGAAGCGTAAGCGTCACATGACAATGTGTCAAAAAGTAATATTTTGTATTACCAGAGACTGCCCAAGTCTCCACAAACATTTACAATTTAAAGCTCTTTAAATATTCCTTGAATGTGACACACCAAACCCATCCATACAAAAGTGTTACATTTATGGATAACCCCTTAAAATCAAAGTTTTAATAAAGCAATTGGGTAATATAGATTTAAAAAAAAACGTGAAGCAATACTATATGCAAAAAAAGGTTTTTTATTGTGGAAATAATAGACAAAAGACTATTTGACTGTACTAGTGTATATTTTCTCAACTGTAACCGTCAGTAATCCAGATGCTGTTTTGTGTAGTTATAAACTCCATACTTAAAACAATTAGTTTAAAAATTAAAAATATTTTTGCATGGTAAAGTAATGCATTATGAAACAAATGCAACCAGTCGATTGATAATGAGTGTGTGTAAAAATACAAGTAAGATGACGTGATAATTAGGTTACATCAGAACATATAGAACCTTCACACTTTAAGAAGAACAGTGGAGTGAACAGATTTTTCTAATAAAAATAGTTCTGCTACATCAACATAAAGCTATAGCTTTATTGAAAACATCTTCAGATAGTTTGTTTACACTTGACGTACTTTCATCTCAACAAATTCTGCAATATGTCCATCACTTGATAGCTCCTGCCAGAATATTCCTGTATCTGTGTCTGTTGTACCCCAGACACCATTTAAAGCTACAGGTCTACAGTTGTTATACCACCAACCACCTTTATGCTTTCCAGCACAATCTCCGCTGTCTAAATCATTGTCCCTGTCAATGGTAGAAAACTTCATACCATGGTGCCAGCTTAGTTTGTCTTTAACGTTCCCACTGAATGTCGTCACGTTTATTTTATACGACGCTGCTTCGTTGTCTACCTTGAAATGATCGTAATGGGCGTAGTACTTTTTACCTTTTTGAGTCATGTCGATTCTCAATTCATTGTACCCCTGTAACGTATAACACGTGTGACATATTAACCTTTTTAAAATATGGCCCAAGCTTGTATGTACAGATTATATTTTTCTAAACTCACCATCAAAGTCAGGTTAGAGATCCAGTCATTCCCAAGCCAGAAATCTCCAATCATTGAACCAAATCCATGTTTATAGGCGTCCCAATCTCTCGTAAAATTCACGTCACCCAAAACACGTCTCTGAAATAGGATATTTTGCAAGATATTGATAAACTATTTTAACCCAAAAAAGATAGATGTAATCTATAAAAAATAAAAAATAAAAATTCAAAAATATTTTAACGTATCAAATTTATCCACCTGAAAAATAATCCAACCTCCACCGTCAGTTTTTGTGTCGCACAAAGCCAATTTGTCTTGACCTAGTCTGACGGTCGTTCGTTCTGGTACATCAGTTTTGTCGTTCTTTTTACACTGTTTATAAATAGAAAGATGCTTGTTTTAACACATGACTAGAAATGGATGAGCTTACATACAAAGAGTGCCTTATAATGTGGGCTAGTTTTGTAGAAGCACACATAAATATATTTTCTAAGTCTTTATACAAGCACATAGTGTCGTATTTAATGATTCTTAATGATTTGTTAATTGTATATTGGTTGATTTAATTCTACTTAACAGTGCTAGTTCACTTAATATTTTTGGTGAAATAAAACAAAAACCTGAAGTCTCATCCGTGACAACACAGGATTGACGTTGTAGTCGTTTTTCATCTTGTATAGTTGTGTTTAAAGCTTCTATCATTCGGTTTGTTTGGTTGTTCAATGTGATTGTCTCGTTAAGTTTTACGTCTATAGCTCTAAGTTTGTCATTCACTGTTTGCATGTGATCTGTGATGTTATTTATCTTAGCACCAAGCACGTCGATTTCTCTAAGTCTGTCATTCACTGCTTTTTGTAGCGTGATGTTATTTATCTTTGCATCAAGCACATCTACAGCATTAGTAGAGCTGATGTGTTTGTTACTGTTGTTTAACTCTGTAGATGATGGAACCTGTGCCGTGTCGTAACTGTACCTATCTCTACCAGAATGTGACATCTGTAAGGACATTGACATGTCTGCACCTTTTAGTTTTTCTGGATCTTTAAAGGATTTCAGAAAGTCGGCCATTGTGTCCACAGTTTTCAAGTAGTTCAAAGTTTCAGCTTTCAAATTCAGCAACAAAACAGATTTCTTGATTTTCTCTCTTTCATAAGACGTTGTTCTTTTCTCTAGCATTGCCATGTCTCCTGTCTTATTGGTAAAATATACTTGACATTTATACTGGTGTAAATTACAGGCTGAAGTATTGGAGAAAGACAAGACCAGTTCTCCGTGATGTTTGGATAGTTTGCCCTCTGATAATATCCCAGATATTTTATAATCGCAAACCTTTGAATCAGATCCTGAAATAGACGCTAACAAAATCTTCCCTTCATTTTCACTGATCCTATAGACTGACATGTTGACAAGAGCTGACATCTGAGTGTCTTCTGTTATGTTTTCTGTACACTGGAGTTGTGCACAAAATAAACTTTTTCCATGGTAAAAGTGTTCTCTGGTCATATCAACTTTAAGGCCTAGAAAACAATAGACAAAATTAAATAGGTAATATCTAATGCGTTCAATTAATTAAATATTTTGTACATATCAGAGAGATTATGTGATGTGTACAATTAATTAAATATTGTGTACACATCAGAGAGATTATGTGATGTGTACAATTAATTAAATATTGTGTACACATCAGAGAAATTATGTGATGTCTTAAAATCTCCAGTCCGGGAACCGTCCTCGCCATTTTCCTGTTAGCAGTCAAGCATGCCACCACCCAATTATGAAGTTCATTCATTATTCAAACACAATAAAAACATTTCTTGTTAAATATTGTTTAAAATCACTGTAATTTAGTTTAATTATTTAAAAATAAAAAAATTACGATCTGAGGGTTTCGAGGGTCATCCATCAAGGACGTCACATATGTGTGTACATCACTAAGATTTTCGGATGTGAAGCTTAGTGAAATAAAACTCAATGCAGTATACTTTCATAAGCTGAAGTCACAGTCATATCGCTTTGTGTTTTTCAAATGTTTAAACCTGTTTTATAAATACTATTGTATTGCATAAGATCTGAAACCCTTCTACCTTTGAGTTTATCTTTTTAAAACCTTTAGTTTGCATAAAATAGTTACCTTTAATTTAAAAACAAATTCTGAAATGTTTTTTTCACGGATGATTGTTAAGCTTAATCAATAAAGATCAATAAACTAGATCATATGCGTTTCGGACATGGTAAATTTTTAAGAAGACAATATAATCACTTAAATATCCGTATTGTTTTGTTATCACTATTTAAAGGGCAACAACCAAGTTAATATTTTCTGGATAATCAGCAACACTGATTTGCATCTCTTTACGTACACTTTCTATCTATCGTAATGATAATACGTGGAACATTGAGCTGAATTGTCACATAATTTCAAAATAAAGTATTTATGGGCGAGTCATATTAAATGTATTATGTTTATATTGTTAGAATAATGTTAAACTTCACAACAAGTACTTAAGAAAAGTAATTTATGTTTAATAATTTTAATAGGCGACAAATGCACTGTCTTACAAAAATGCTATAAAGCAATTAATTAAGAAGAAGGCTAATAAGGTAATGTTTTGATCGATTAACATCCTACTGTTCCGTTTTTAGATAATAATATTTTCGACTTGTCTCATAAGTCCTAATATAATTAAAGTGAACTTACCAAACGACAGAAATAAGTTGACGGCTAACACAGCAGTAAAATATATTGCAGACATTTTAAACTATTGCAATAACATCAACTCAGCTGAGTACGTTCTCATAGCTGGTTTGTTTGTCAAATAGTCTCGTACTTATATACCGACCAGTTAAAAACATACATAAGTTGACAGGAGGTTGAAGGTCAACATGCACTTGTAAACAGATATGACGTAATGAGTTGGCCGCTCGAGTTGACCAGAAATAAATGTCTGAAGTTGAAACATGATGTCAGATAATATCACATAGATTTTCTCGTGTAATCGTTTCCTTACATACATACTTGAATAAGAAAGTATTCGCAACAAGAACCGACATGTAGCTACTAGCACGATACAGATTACTGTCTCATCGATACCAACATACTTATCAAAGTAAATAGAAACGGAAAGAGCAATTTGCCCCACTTAACAAAACTCGAGTTCCCATCACGAGTGACGTTTTCTATTTAAAAATAACTAATTAACTACTGACATGTAATATTCAGACATTTATTTTTAACCTTTAACATATGGTGTTGCAAAATACTGTAAAACCTCATATGATTGTCTTCATTTTAAAACATTGTTAAATTTGATGAATAACATGTATTTCTTATTGTAACATTTCAACTATATATTTATGAATATATTTAAACATTTCAAATATTATATAAATGTATAAACCAATTTTTTTACTAAAATCTATTTAAATTATACTAAGATTCTTATAATTTAACACATATTTTTAGGTTTACGACATATATTTTAAGCTCATGTGTTAACCTACATTGCAAGGTAGCAACAAGAAGAATGTTTAAAGAGTCAATTAGACACACTAATTAGTTGCAATAGCACTCGGGACAAAATAGATGAAATAGAGAGAGAGAGAACTAAACACACTGCATGCACATAAATACAAAGGCGCTCTCATTCGCAGTAGAATAAATATTTTAGGGAGTGAAGAACCATCCCACTACAATATAATACTCGAGCAAATACATGCCAACAACAAACACATCCACAGCATTACAACCAGCGGCGGCGCGTTGACAACCGACCCCGAAGCCATCAAAATAAGTTTTACAACATTTTACCAACAACTATTTAAATCAGAAGAGGTCAATACTAACCCAACACAAATATTAAAAAATATAAGGGCAGACGATGAATACTGAAAGAGAATAGACACGCCCATATCTAAAGAAGACATACTCAGATCAATCAATGGACTAACATTAAACAAATAACCGGTCCAGATGGCCTGACAAACGAGTTTTATAGGACTTTTGTAACGGACCTGGTCCCTATTTTACAGGCAGCTTACAGCGACATGCATAAAAGGAGAGACTGCGGAACCGACTTCAATAGATTCTATATAACTGATCCCAAAACCCGACACAGACAAAACAAAAATAACCAGCTACCGACCAATATCATTACTAAATAGCGACTATAAGATACTGACCAAAGCCTTGGTAAACAAGCTCGAAACTGTCATACCCAAACTAATAAACTCAGACCAGCAGTGTAGCGTACAGGGCAGAAACATGCAGAACCACACACACTTAACACCAGACATCCTGCATTACAACACACACAAAAACTCCAAGCTAGCGTTACTTAGTATAGACCAACAAAAAGCATTTGATAAGGTAGCACATACATGGCTATTTAAAACAACAGAAGCCTACAATCTAGGCAACTACTTCAGCACGTGAATAAAAACACTCTATAACAAAGCACACAGCCGCTTACTTATAAACAATAACATTTCTACTGCCATACACATCCAAAAATCAGTTAGACAAGGTTGTCCATTGTCCCCTATTTTATACATCCTTAGTTTAGAACCCCTCTTAGAGAATCTTAGACAGGACATCACTATAAAAGGACTAAAACTACCAAACATGGCTGATAAAAAGATATTGGCCTACGCCGATGACACAACTTTTCTACTTCAATATCTGAGAAAGCCATAAAGACAGTAATGGAAAGATTTATTGACTTTGGTAAAGCCAGTGGCGGAAAGATCAACACGGACAAATCGAAAGTGGTGGACAAACTAAAAATTTACGGAATAACTTATACAGGCGATAACAAGTTGAGAGACAATGCTACCTGGCTAAAGGTGACCGAAAAATCCAATCAGGCCTTAAAAATAAAAAAAATATTAACACAACGATCTTCACAGGAGCCACTCTAGTTAACAGATATGTCATACCTAAAATTATATTCCTAGCAACAAATAACAAATAACCTAACAGATTCATAAAAACAGCATACAAGCAAATTAGGGAATTCATCATTAAAAACACAATTAGAAACAGTAGCAACAGAACTTTGATACGAAGCAAGATAAATTGCGGTATAGGGCTACACGATATACATACAAAAATCAATGCCTTTATGTTAAAACACTTTGACAGAATTAAGATAGAACCACACAACTACCCATTGGCTCAATACTATATAGGGCTTAAAAAAAGAATATCCTCAAAGTTAATATCACAACACCACATTATGGAGGGAATGATATAGGGAACTTCTACAGAGAAATATTAAAAATATCTAAAGGAAACAACATCATTGGTGAAAATTCCAAAAAAAAAAAAATGCAACAACCTGGTTAAGAAACAAGCAACCCCTCCATACCATAGGATTAAATGGGCCAGATAGTACAATACAATAGATATAAGCGACACCTTCAGAAACTTACATAAGAAGCAAATAACACCCAACGTAATAGATTTTAGCTATAGGTTAATATTAACCACAACCCCAATCTCAAGCAACACCAAGTCAAGCAAAAACATTAAAATTACATGCCAGACCTGCAAACATAACATACAGGAGACAGAAAAAACTCATATTTTTAGAATGCAGTAAAATTCAATTAGCAAAACAAACACTAAAGACCATCTTAAAAACAAAGCAAATAATCACTACAAACAAAGCTATTACATTTAACGAAATCAACAAGACTGGAGACGCAACATATGACGACGACAAAATGATTGCGACATCTGTCTTTAGATCGCTAGTCTGGTATTTACGAAATAAGATTAAGTATGACGGATTTAAATATACAGACAAAGCTGTCAATGAAATCTTTAAATCGAGACTTAGATCAAGACTCAGTCAATACACACACAATTTCGACGGACAGCAGACATTATAAAATGCAAACTATTAAAATAATTATGTATAGGTGACATTATGGGGAGATATTTTCATGTCTTCTTTTTCCCATAGCACCGGTATAGCCTTTGCCCTCATTGAAAACAAAACATTATTTCATTAAAAAATTGTCCTATATGGCCTTGGTTTGAGACCACTGCCCTACTAAAGCATGCCAAATTTGACCTTGATCTGCAATTTATTTTTCCTACTAGGTCTATACTAGTCTATAGCAGACTCACGTACAGCCTACGCGCTTTAAAGCGCCGTATCTAAGACGTGTCAAAACTGGCCTTGAACTGTTTCCTCATACTTTGCTCAAAATAGAACGTGTCAAATACGGCATTGAACAGCCGTTCCACTTCTCTCCCCACTGCAGTGTCACATGTCTTTTCATGACGTAGTAAGTAGAACAACGCTTGCCCCTACCGCAAGTTAGGCCTAAAGGGGAATAATTTCCTTCCAAAAAAAAAAAAAAACCACCAAAAGATAATACCACCCTCCTCCAATTCGGTATCCAATTAGAATCTACTATGCATCTATGTTTTTTTGCTTTCTACTCTTTTATTTACAAATTGTTAATATTTCCTATTAATTTCTCACGCTGTTTATATCGTAAAAATTCTCAACAAAACTAAAAATATTTAAGACAATTATGGTAAAAATACAATTTTTGTATATGGGGTCATCCATAAATGACGTCACACTCGTAGGGGGGAGGGGGGGGGGGGGTCCGTAATTTTGTGACGATGTGTGATGAGGGGGAGGGGGGGGGGGGTGGGGTTCAGATGTTGCGACGTCACATTTTTGAATTATAAAAAAGCAATGTTAGAAAACGAATTTTAGACGTTATTTCGCGTTTTAGATAACTGTTTTAATAAATTGTAATAGTTTAGACAAGATTTTCGAAAAATATCGATGTTTAAAAAAAAATTCAACTGCAATTTTGAGGGGGGGGTGTTGTAGGTTGAGGTGTGACGTCATTTTAGGGGGGGGGTCTGACTTTTTGTGACGACGTGTGACGGAGGGGAGGGGGGAGGTAAAAATCGTCAAAAAAGCGTGACGTCATGTATGGATGACCCCTATCTTTATATCTAATTACCTTCATTATATTGTTGATCGACAAATCCTTTTTTATTTAAATACAGTTCACCATTTTCTTCATGTAATAATATTTTTTTAAAATGTTTGAATTAATTTACAGACTTACGCTCACACACATTTGTATATGCTTATGTAATTATTTCTATTTGAAAATAAAAGTATTAAAAATAATTAGATTGTAAGGAATTTTAAACTTTTATTACTGTTTTTACAAAAAAACAAGATGGTCGCCGTTGCAAGTGTTTGTAAATAGTGCTCCGTTAAAATTTTCATGTGCTATTTGTGACAATATTGTGTTTTTTTTTTCAGAATATGGATTTTAATGAAAGTGATTGAATACAGAAACGCTTCTTATCTTAATTTAATCTGCGTGGTTTTATTTCGGTTTGTGGACTTATTTTGTAAGTAATTTTTTTATACTAAACAAAAGTGAAAAAAAAAAGAAGTTCACTTTTTATGGTTCCAGAATATATTTGGATCATAATAGTAGGGAAATTATGTACATAAAATGTTCGAAAGGGGAGGTGTCCTCCTAGAACTGTGCGTAACGCAATGCCGTTGAATGTTTCAGAAATACCCAATGTTGTGCTAAATAGTATCGTTTACACCTTAGAATGAGTTTTTTTTTGTATGCACACTCTTTTGATTTCAATTAAATTCGTTTTAATGTAAGGAATACAGTTTTGGGTTTAGTCAGTTTTAGGTTATGTTGATGATGAGATCAAGGTTTAATTTTTCAGTTATGCTTTTCAAAAACACCAGGTTGTTTGGTTATTTTGAATTTATAAATATATATGGAATATATAGTCAAATTAATATTATATTTAAAGAGTCTACACCGCTGTGCTTTAACTTAGCAAGACATCCTTTATCAATGTGGAAGGTCATCTATGTAAAAGTGTCTCTAAATATTTTCAACGTTATGCAATACGGGGACAGAACTACCATACTGCCACACAACTCATTGCGGGGTGGGGGGGGGGGGGGGAGGAGTTCGTTCAGGGGACCCTAGTTCCGCCAAAAACCGGGAAACCATTACACATATCAAGCTTCATATCAGCAGTTTCATATACTTTTTACCGATTGCCTAATATGAAGTTACACTTTTCACAATTTTCGGCGGTCATAAATGAGATAAATAAGTTTTATTTTTATTTTATTTATTTTTTTGTTAGTTCAAGCCAGAAATGAGTTGGTCCTATTTCTGTTTGGTTTGGTGATCACAACAATTATACGTTGCAAGGAAACTACTAAACGAGGAAGGAGTGTGTGTGTGTGTGTTTTTGTGTGTGTTTTTATATTTCATTATAAAGCTTTACTTTTATGTATTGCTTATGTTTAATGGGCAAAGAAAATAAAATATGGCGTCCTTATGGGCGACCATAAACAAAGGTGAAATTTGTTACTGTTGAGTTTGGTCTTTTATTTCAAGTATTAAAATATTTTTTCCACAAGCCTAAATAAACTTGTTAAAAAAGAATACAGTTTTAGGATAGTATTTAACACTGGCAAGATTACAGTCACTAGCCTATTAACAGCTTATTTCCCCAATCAACACATTTGTTATACAAGCCTGAATCAGTGGTATCGATACAATAAAAAGGTTAATGTCCTTTTATCGGACCATAAGCTCGTTTCTTCTCATAGCGACGGTAGATAACTCTATATAATAACTTCCATCTCGACAACAATAGTTACCTCCCATCAGATGTGTATCACGTAATTATGTGCTAGTTATGTTAATGGAAGTCCAACATGAAATTGGTTTCTGTAGTGTATATAAGGTGACACTGGCGGGGTACGATTGTATTCATTCAGGTGAGCTGAGTGAGACGTTCTTCACTTGCTGAGAAATTTAACTGCTTGAGATATGCTGGTGAGATTCTGTTGTTTTGTTTTTTGTTTGGGTTTATAATTTAGTCTATTTTTGTTCGTTTTACCTTGGACTAAATGTTAGTCTAGTTTAGCCCAAGTCTAGATGCGGAAGTTTTTAATTTGGACAAGAGACGAGGGCCTAGTTTTAGCCTAAGTCTATACTGTGAGTTTTAAATTTGGATAGATCTGTGCGATTGTCCAATTTTTTTGTTTCTTTTTAATTATTTTAGCTGCAATTGTGCGAGTATTCAATTTTTTAAAATAATAAAAACGATCCGAAAAAAATAATTTTAGTTGTTGAAATTACAAGCGAACCTACATATATGTGCTATTATCATGTAACAGTTGACATATATTATAGTTTACCTCAGCTACAAAGATTTATTTTATTGTAGAACAGAGAAAACCGTGGATTCAGTTATGTAGTTGTAGGATGGCTCACTGTAATGAAGAACAGTTGCAGAATAAAGGATTGATGACACAATCAGTGATTGTTCACACAATCTAGCCTTCTGTTAGCACATACTGACTGATCGTGAAGTGATTGTGCATATAATCAAGGATTGTCGATACGTCAATGCTTAACTATTACTTGTTACTAATACTACATTTTTATTTTCCAATCGACCCTTAAATGCAATCGTAAAACAATTTAGTTTAACTTATACCATATACATGTTAATATGTTGACGACATATCAAACATCAATTCGTATATCTAATGATAAATTACATTGGATAAGTAAATCGTGAGTGTCAATCGTTAACCTCTATTTATACTGTTCCAATAGGCTGTGGTTCTTGCCATCGCTGTGGGCTGGGGTTTTCCAATTTTTACTGAGGCTGCTACGATAGACACGGCCATAAATGCTACAACTACTGGTGTTGAGGTGAGTGGTGGTAGTTTTGTGGGTGTCGGTGTCATGGGTGTGTGGTGGTGTCATGGGTGTGAGGTGGTATTATGGATGTGTGTGTGTGGTGTCATGGGTGTGGTTGTGGGGTCATGGGTGTGTGTGTGGTGTCATGTGTGTGTGTGGTGTCATGTGTGTGTGTTGTGGTGTCATGAATGTGTGGTGGTTTCATGGGAAGTGGTGGTTTTGAAGTTGTAATATGGTTTTATAAGTAAGTAATTGTTTCATGGTTGCTTGATTGATAGCTAGTAAATGTTGTTGTTTAACTTAATATCTAAATGACCAGCTGTTTTGATTGTGACTTCCTGCCTTTCTATGTAAATGTTATTATTGTTTTATATGCTAGTTTTATATCTGAGTGTGTGTGTGCATGTAAGTGATTGCTTTAGAGACATTTGAGATTGATGCGCTTGTTCTACATTCCACTAGTCCAGTTGAAAGAAAAGGTATTCAGGTGAAATGTTTGACCGTTTGTTCAATACGCCATCAAATACAGTATCGGTGCCGTAGCTAATTTGCCGGGGGAAGGGAAGGGGTGTCTTGATGGGTTGATTGATTTTGTTATAGCTTAGGTCAAAATTAATGTAATGCTGATTTAAATAATATGCTGGTGATTGACTTGTTAGTGGGGGATGATAGTGTTGTGTAATTTAAATCATTACATCATATTTCTTTCATTAATGTCTCACTCCTATCATCCGATGGCACCCCATGCAACACGCCTGTCATAAAATGTCACACACCTGTCATCCCATGTCACACACCTGTCATCTCATGTCACACCTGTCATCCCATGTCACACCTGTCATCCCATATTACACACCTGTCATCCCATGTCACACACCTGTCATCCCATGCCACACACCTGTCATCACATGTCACACACTTGTCATCCCGTTTCACACGACTGTTCAAACAGGAATTAAAACAACGGGTCACTGACCTGGAGACAATGATGACCAACCTGGCCCGTCAGACCATGTCGCAGCAACTGTTTGTTGAAGAAAGGTACACAACTCTTGTCTTATAAAATACAATCTCTAAAGGCATGTCGCAGCAACTGTTTGTTAAACAAAGGTACACTACTCTTGTCTTATAAAATACAATCTCTAAAGGCATGTCGCAGCAACTGTTTGTTGAAGAAAGGTACACAACTCTTGTCTTATAAAATACAATTTCTAAAGGAACGTTTCAATTCTTTGATTTATGGCCGCTTTAAAAACACAAACACGTCTATCTATCTATCTATCTATATATATATATATATATATATATATATATATATATATATATATATATATATATATATATATATACAATTATTTTCCCAACGGTCAGGATTCGGTCTGATGGTCACTCGGGGGTCAAACAGCTCAGGGACTACACCCACGGGACGTCCAGTTACTTTGATGCCACCCACATCGGCAAGGCGGTCAGCGCCATGCACGACCACAGCAACTACAACGACACCCTGGGTATGGGAGAAACTATAGTCGTCATGAACGGGGTGGAATTTAGGTAAGTATTGTGGAAAAGGTGGAAATTGTGTGTTTGGTTGACACTGTTGTTATAATTAAAAGAATAAAGTTTTTTCGGCTAAAAATTACTTTGTTGTTTTAGATTAATTTTAGATTTCCTTTTTAAAACAATTTTTTTCATCTCTTTCATCTGAATCATCTGATTTATATTTTACTGATTAGAACATAATATCCGCTTTTTAACATATTTTTTGTCATTTAAGTTAACTCACATCCAAGCAATAATATTTTACTGGTTGTCTCCCATAGACCATATTCTGATTTCGTCTTTTTTTTTTGCAAGAATTTTTCTTTCAATTACGATCTCTGTCATTTACATCAAAACACTAAAAAAATTTCTGTATAGGCTTATTGTGTGCGTTTTTAGTCTGCTGTACATGAAATGTATTTTACATAGTTAGTCTTTTCAGCTACCATTTTTCGCAGAAATCTAAACAAAGCATAAATCCCAAACACTTTATTTCAACAAATTTACAGCAACGTGTAACATATTTCATCGTGAAATTTCATTTAATATTCATCGCAACGTGACATTACATGCAACACTCGTTGCGCTGCGTGACAATGTGCTATGTCCTACAACGTCGTAGTATGACACCCCGACAGTGTGCTCTCTGTCCTACAGGACCCGTCACAACGACTACCGGATGGTGCAGCCCCACCCCACCAGTAAAGTTTTCCGTGCTGTGGTCAACCTCTCCCCACCCCCAATACCACCAGCTGTGCTTAGTAAACCAACGGTCGATGTAAGCAAAACATTTATTGGTTAAATTATACTCTTTTATAGACACACACATACACACACACACACACACATATATACATATATATATATATATATATATATATATGTACACTCGTGTTTTAGTGTGTGTTTTAGTGCCTGTCTGTGTGTTCTGGTCTGTTCATTGTATATTCCCTTTTTATTCCTCAAACTTTCAAAAATATCGAGTCAATGTGTAGTCCTAAGATCCCCATCCTAACGTATCAATATGTTGACCTCCTATCACTTTCCTAACGAGTCAATATGTTGACCTCCTATCACTATCCTAGTGAGTAAATGTGTTGTCCTATAATCCCTATCCTAACGGGTCAAAGTTAATATGCTGACCTTCTATCCTTATCCTAAGTCAACGTTTTGTCCTATTATCCCTGTCCCTGTGAGTCAAACACATCAAACTATCCCTATCCTAACGCCTCACCTTCCGTACCATCAGCTTCAGATCACGGAGATGATCGAGTGGTTCCGGGCCTTCTACCAGCAGAACTACACAGTCCGAGACTACAGACCTTACTTCCGGCCTGCCATGTGCTACATGGAGGGTGAGTACAGTTGGTGTGTTGTATAGATGTGAGCTAAATTTCTTATATCGCTGTTTGTAACTTGTAAATACAAATTTCTTCCATGAAACCTGAATTGCCTCGCTATAACAGTTGTTTATCCCTTGAATATAGTTTGCTTCCTTTTTTTGCGGGATTGTCTACCTATAGTACGGTTAATTTCTCTTTATTCTGAATTGTTTCCCCCATATTAGGGGTTATTTCCCTTTAATACAGGTTGTTTCCCCTGTGTGTTATTTTTATTTTATATATTGTATTGCCTTGCATTGGTACACAGCTAAATAATCATATTCCTACTTATTAATTGCGTGCATTTGTGATACTATCAACTTTTTTTTGGTTCTTAACTCTTACAAAAATTAACTTTTTGTAAGTGAACGTGTAAAGCACTAACCCAAGTATACTTTTCATAACTTCTCATCACATTTCTGACTTTTTGTAAGTGAAAGTGTTAAGCACTAACCCAAGTATGCTTGTCATAACTTCTCATCACATTTCTGACTTTTTGGAAGTGAAAGTTTTAAGCACTAACCCAAGTATACTTGTCATAAATTCTCATCACATTTCTCCCCAGGCGCCTGGACTCTCGATGCCACGATCCAAGAACCGTTTGCCAGTGACCGACACAATTTGGTGGCTGACTCCTGGCTGGACCTTCAGCAACAGGTGATGTCAACATACGAATCACACACTCACATACACACACACATAAACACATAGACACAGACACACTCACACACACATTTACAAACACACACAAATAGACACACTCACACACGGTCACAGGCACTCACACACACACAAACACATAGACACAGACTACACACACACTCACACACACAGACACGCACACACACATCCACACACACACACAAACACACACACACCAGTTATAACACGCACACACACGCACTCACACACACAGACACAGACACATACACACAAACACAAACACACACAAACACACACACACCAGTTATAACACACACGCACACGCACTCACACACACAGACACACAAACACACACACAAACACACCTCGTATTCAGATCACAGACTCGAGTTACATAGGACGTGACGCGCCTAAAACTAAGGAGGCTGGGCTTAGTACTGACCACACTATCCCTTTATTTTCCCAAGTCATTAATCAGATCAACTCTACTTCATCTGCCTCATGTATCTTGGGCACTGTCCAGAAAAAAATGCTACTCGCGTGCTACCTATAACAAATGATATTCCGTTGTTAAATTAGAACATTGAGTTTCTCATCTAAAACCATTTAGACCCTATCCATACAGTCTTGCCTCCAATATTCTGCTGGGATACCCTTCATTTTGACCTGTCTTGTCGTGAAAGCTCATGAGCTGAATACAAAACCCGTGCTTGAGCTATGTCAGCTTAAAGCTAAGAATGAACTCAATGAGCTAAAAACAGATTACAGTTCTGTATACCCTATCTGTATCTAAAGTTTTCTTGTTAAGATCCAAACTTCTGTATACCCTATCTAAAGTTTTAAGATCCCAACTTGTGTATACCCTATCTAAAGTTTTCTTGTTATGCTCCAGATCCGCTACACCTCCTACACTGGCAACAAGGATCTGAAGGAGAACTTCTCCTAAACTTCTGTATACCCTATCTAAAGTTTGCTTGTTAAGATCCCAACTTCTGTATACCCTATCTGTATCTAAAGTTTTCTTGTTAAGATCCCAACTTCTGTATACCCTATCTAAAGTTTTCTTGTTAAGATGCCAACTTCTGTATACCCTATCTGTATCTAAAGTTTTCTTGTTAAGATCCCAACTTCTGTATACCCTATCTAAAGTTTTCTTGTTAAGATCCCAACTTCTGTATACCCTATCTAAAGTTTTCTTGTTAAGATCCCAACTTCTGTATACCCTATCTGTATCTAAAGTTTTAAGATCCCAACTTGTGTATACCCTATCTAAAGTTTTCTTGTTATGCTCCAGATCCGCTACACCTCCTACACTGGCAACAAGGATCTGAAGGAGAACTTCTCCTACCTGCCCACGGCCATCATCTCCATCAACGAGACCACAGGCAAGCCCGTGTACGCCCAGTGGAACTACAGGATCCTGTGTAAACCTTACAGTGGGGACATTCCAACCTCGTACTTCAGACAGGTGAGGCTAGCCAGGTGTCTACATAGGCAGGTGGGGCTAGACAGGTGTCTACGTAGACAGGTGAGTCTAGACAGGTGGGTCTAGACAGGTGAATCTTGTCAGGTGAGTCTAGACAGGTGAGTCTAGACAGGTGGGGCTAGACAGGTGGGGCTAGACAGGTGTCTACCTAGGCAGGTGGGGCTAGACAGGTGAGGCTAGACAGGTGAGTCTAGACAGGTGTCTACGTAGACAGGTGGGGCTAGACAGGTGAGGCTAGACATGTGTCTACATAGACAGGTGGGGCTAGACAGGTCTCTACATAGACAGGTTGGGCTAGATAGGTGAATATAGACAGGTGGGGCTAGACAGTTGTCTACATAGACAGGTGGGGCTAGACAGGTGTCTACATAGACAGTTGGGGCTAGACATCTGGGTCTAGACAGGTGTCTACATAGACAGGTGAGTCTAGACAGGTGAATCTAGACAGGTGAGTTTACAGTTGTGATTCTCTTCCCCTCCCCCTTAAGGCAACTAAATGCTGGCGGTATACCCAGAACTCAATTTGCTCCAAACAAAAATGACTGGAAAACGATAAAAATTCCTATTGAGTTGTTGCGCATGCGCTGACAAGTGAGCACTTTCCGATGTGATTGCCAATGGACAACTAGTTATTCATTTATCTAGACTCTAGACTCTAGACTGTCTTAACAATCTTATTTTTTAAAGTTTAATTTAGTACTGGGCGTTTGATTTGGAGTAGCAATAGATATATAATAAAAATGAACTTCTATTTATTTAGAAATTTATAGCTAAACACTAAGGTTTATATTTTTAACATATTGTTTAACTATAATTCAAAAATGTAAGTTTACTTAACATTTTGACAGAAGTTATATAATATTTAAATATGCCTAAATTAATTTGAGTAAATAAACAATAATTAATATTTATTAATTATTAATTATTGAATTTCTTGGAATTTTGTTTTACTTCGAACACAGAAATTCAGATTGTCTACCTTTGGTTTTAATTTATAATACATTAATAGGCAGTAAATGACGAATAAATATTCATCTCAAAACACGTTTTGGAAGCCTTATATTACACCATTAAATTTAAAATGAACAAGATATTTTTACCCACATCACAGTTAGTATATGTATCTTTAACATGAGGTGTCTAAGGTAATTATTTTAAAATAGGCCATTTATATTTCTATTAGTATTTTTTTGTTTATTGGAAAACTTTAGTTTACTTTTTCAAAAATCTTTTCGCGACTTTACTAGACCTTGTCGTCGCATCTCTTGTATTCCTAAATTTTTATCGCAAACAAAAATGTATTAGAGAGTTAGACACTAAAAGCATCGTCAACTTGATAGCGTCTAGTCGACATTCATACTCTCGTAGACATCCAGCAATCATTAGTAACTTTACCGTGAATTCCAAAGTCTCCCCTGACAAACAGTCACCCATATGATGCTGTACGATTGTATTCTCTTTACATCCAGTTATCTATGTACTATTGTTTCCCCTGACATTTAGTCACCCAAATTATACTGTACTATTGTCTACCCTGAACTAACAGGATTATGTACGATTGTCTCCCTTAACATCTAGTTACCCATATAATTCTGTACTATTTTCTCCCCTGAAATCCAGTCACTAATATAACTCTGTAATATTATCTCCCCTCACAGCAAGACGACGGGCCCTACCAAGAGAGTTACCGCCAGCCGCTGAGCCGTGTGTTGGCCACAAGAGCCGCACGGTTTAGACTGTCAGAGTACAGCGATGAGAGGTAGGTGGGGGGGGGGGGGGGTGGCGTGGTTATTTGTAGTTTTTTCTACTGCTGGTAATGTCACATGTTTAGCTTTGGTACCTTTTGTTTGGGTTAAGTGGGAAACACCTTTAGAGAAGATGAAACTCTAATGTTAGAAGTAAGGGTGGGTTTTTGGAATTGCCATTGTTTTTACCGGAATAAAAAAAATGTATTCGATGTCAAAGGAAATTTAGAAAACGTATAAAAGTGGTTTGTTTTTGTTTCGACCGTCAGTTAACTAATATATCGCATATTTTTTTAGTTTGTAGCTGAGTTGCGTACAAATTTCATTTGATTTTTTCTTGCTTTGTTTGCGGAAAGATTTCTGTTTACTTCTGAGTGGTAATAGGTTAATAGAGTAATTTTCTTTGGTTATAGATAGAAGAAGCTTGCAATAAACAACAAAATTAAAAAAAAAATTCTTTAAAGCTTAAAATATTTAAGTACCGTTGCATATCATATAGCTCAAGAAACTCACTGTTCCGTTCATGTTGTCTGTCCAATCATTTTTGAAATTCGCTATTTGTCGTCTGCATACAATCTCAGCATTCCATTTTCCCTACTGCCATCACTTATTTTATCTGCCATAGCAATTAGAAATTTGCTATTTGTTTTCTGCCCAACATCTCAATGTTTGCATTCTTGTACATCCTATCTCATCACTGTTCGAAATGTTCGTCTGTTACCTGAATGTATCGTCTCCCGTAGATTCACGTGGTTCACGTTACTGGACAAGATCTTCAGCGAGATCCCAGGAGCAGACAACATCCCCGACCTCCTGAACGAGGCAGCTTTTGGTCAGGACATCTACTCACAGGACAGCTCCAACTACACCAAGCTCAACACCGGCTACTACCACAGGATGCTCAAGACTGGCGCAGCGGGTGCTATGGGAACCTCGGTCAGTTCATTACAGCTTCGTATCCTCTTTTGCTTCAGTCTTTTTAACTTCTTAATCAGCCTTTTACTTCTTTTTCAGCTTTTCCCTTCTTTTTTTCAACTTTTTACTTCTTTTCCAGAGATTTAAGCACTGTTTAGTGTATTTATTATTTTTAGCTTCATATATTAAAATAAAATTACCATTAGGATATATTTTAATGATTTATACACTGAAGCTTTTCTACTATTTTCTTATAGTACTTATCCCGGTTACGAAACAGAATTTTAATTTTATTCGTTGTGTTATGTATTGTTCTATTATGGTATCTATGCGTTTTCTAACTTTAAATGATAAAATGTGATTGGGCAATGACATAATAATATGGTCTGCTTGCAGAGCGTTTTCCGTGGGTTTTCCGATGAAATGTTGTTCTTCGCTGAGACGACCCAGCCTCTTATCGCCCCTGTTGCCTTCAAGAGTTGTCCCAACACCACATACTGTGTTACACGCTACTCCAGGTCATTGGACGATTTTTGTTTTTTATAAACACGGTGTATCTATTTTTAGATATGTAAAGTAAACAGTTCGCTGTAAGGTTAAATATACTCATACGTAGATATCCCTGCTCGTAGCTATACAAGTATACATATACGTACACATACACATACTTAAAGAGTTTCTTTCTCTAACCACATGTCATACACATACATAAAGATTTTTAAAATGTGTGAGAGATTTGCATGAAATGTCTCTTAAAGACTTCTGAAAATGTGTTTTTTTTTATATCCCATAGATTCACATACGCCATTCCCCTAAAAGTTGCCTATAATTTGTTTATTCTCTAACCCCATAGGTTCACATACGCCATTCCTCTAGAAGTTGTCTACTTGTCTCCCTTACTTAGCTGGAACCCTTATAACTTATCCATCTATGCAGTAAGTATGAGCTTTATAATTTGCTCATTTATTAGTAAATATAACATGCATAATATGTCCTTGATGACGACGATGATTATGATGTTGATAATGATGATGATGATAATAATGATGATGATGTTGTTGATGATGATGATGATGATGATGATGAAAATGATGATGATGAAAATGATGATGTTAAGGATGATGATGATTATGATTATGATGATGATAAAGATGATAAAGATGATAAACCGGACAATGGGTTGTACTAAAAATAGGGGTGATAGGATGTTTTAATTTAATTTTAATTTCAGGTTAATTCATATGGCCAAAAGTTAGTGTTACGGTTATGGTCAAAGTTGGATTCGAGTTTAGGTTAGGGTTAGGTTAATCTTGGTATTAGCAAATTCTACCATAATTTGATACAGCTAAGCCAGCACCGATTATTATGAGATTCCGTGGCACGGTCATACTCTTTCATCAGACATACATCTGAGAGATCATTTTCTCACCTGATGATGTGCCTAGTTTAATTTTAAAGTTTTCTTTGAATTTGATAAGTTTGCGTTTATTTAAAAAAAGATGACCATTTTCTTTGTTTTTCTTCAAGAGTAACAAAATCGTTTATGCCAACGGACGGTCCGGCAGCACGACCAACACAACGAGAGCCTACAACGGGACGTCACCCAACAGTTTCTATTACCTCACTCCACAAGCGTTCTACTCCAGCTCTACAGGGGAGGTAAGCTAAATGACACTTTCCTTCTGTAGATTCTTTTTTTTTTGTTGACGGTGAATACTTTTTAATTTGCGGAATTTCCAAAATTGTTATTTGTACTTATTAATCTGCGAATTGTCCACATTTTATCCACAGAGTGACCCAGCCGACACTGCCGGGGGTGGGGTTGGTGTCCTGGACAAACAGGGCACCATCAGAAACGTCTCAGCTTCCGGCATCCCCATCCTCTCTCTTCCAATCAGAGGTAGCCATCTTTAGCCATCCTAACTCTAGATTTTATTTTTAAAGTCAGCTTGTGAAAAAAAAATATAACTAATTAATTACCATAACTTTTGGATTATTTACGTGATGCATATATTTATATTCGATTGAACTCCTCAAATCTTTAAACGTGTGAACTTACCAGACATTATTTATTTTGATTTAACTCGTCAAATCTTTAAACTTGCCAGGCATTGGGAGCATCCGTTTCCGGTACCCGATTCCGCCAGTTCATGCCGAGGGCAGCGTTGCTTGGAAAGAAATAGAAGTCATCAAAAACAGGATGGCGCAGATGAAAACAACGACTGGGGGTAGCTCGGCGTACCAGATGGAGGTAAGATTTGTCTAAAGGTAAGACATGTCTCGAGGTAAGACTTCTCGTTGTAAGACTTGTCTCAAGGTAAGACTTGTCTCTAAGACTTGTCTCGATGTAAGACTTGTCTCGAGGTAAGACATGTCTCGAGGTAAGACTTGTCTCGATGTAAGACCTGTCTCGAGGTAGGACTTGTCTAGATGCTTGTGGATGACAGAGGTAGTGCCCAGATTCTTTCAGGCATTTCAGCCCCATAAGGAAAAAAATGTCTAAAAGAAACACTGCTTGCTGGATATTGTACTAATATTAAGTACTTAGAGCTGCAAACAAATATAATTTCTGCTTTTTAGTGCCTCGGGTAATCCAACTTTTCCGATTCATTATCTCATATATTGCTCCCGCTTTAAAAAAAAACACCAAAAGGCAAATTCTTTTTTCTGGGTAACTTCTGGCCGTTATGCCTTGGTCTGAAACTGATACTGGTTAAATCTACTTTACCTACCCAGTCTACAGATTGATTTGAGTAGGAACAAAACTTTTAACAATCTGTTTTAGCTCAAAAAATGACGTCTATTGCTTTTTTATTAAGTCCCAAATTACTGCTTAACTTAATTCTCTATTCGCATGAATAAACCGTTCAAACTGCATGCAAGATATAGCGGCATCTCAGTATAACAAGTGTGATGTGAGAGTATTACAGTAATTAGGACACAAACACAATCTTAGCTTGATTTTATCAGTTGGATTTACCAATGTCACATTGTAATGCTAAATGTAGCATTATGTTGTTGAAAAAAAATTTTAACCCACTCTAACAACCCCCTTCCCCCCCCCAAACCCCAGCTGTACCCGACCCTAGTGAGCGGCAACCACTACCACGAGTTCACCCTCCTCAAGTCAGACTACGACGCCATTGTCAGCGGCAATGTCGTCTCGGCCACCACCTCCCAGGCCAACGGTCACGTGCACAACCTTGACCTCTGGTTGAACCCGGCCACCAAGGTCGTGGAGTACAAGGCCTGCGACTACCAGGACGTCTGCTGGGACCAGCACCCCAAGAACATCAAGATCGTCTCCGGCCCTTAGAGACGTCAACAACAATCTGTATCCGGCGGAAACAACGACCACGTGTGTAGTCTATAAATAACCTGCTTCTAAAAATAACCTGCTTCTAAAAATAAACTACAAATAAAAAAAAAATATTTTATTCTTTTGCAATTTAGAATGTATAGACTGTTGTATGATATTGTATGATAGCCAATTGTGTAATTAGACAAAGTGCCGAGTACCTACATTAAAGAAATTAATCTGTCCCTGCATTGGATTTGTTCTGACGATAACAATTGTGTAGCAGCAGTAATCAAACAGCATCTTCATGGGTAGCTTCCCTTGCATCATTTTATTTTATCCGAGTTTAAAAATTAACTTCGATTTAACTCAGCGATCAATGATAATACACTAGTATTTTTCCTACTTCATCTACCAGTTCTTGCGTTTTATCTGTCAGACTTTTTTTTATCTACCAGACTTTTTATTTTATCTGACAGACTTTTTATTTTATCTGACAGACTTTTGGTTTTATCTACCAGACTTTTTATTTTATCTGACAGACTTTTTATTTTATCTGACATACTTTTGGTTTTATCTACCAGACTTTTTTTTTATCTACCAGACTTTTTATTTTATCTGACAGACTTTTTATTTTATCTGACAGACTTTTGGTTTTATCTACCAGACTTTTATTTTATTTGACAGACTTTTGGTTTTATCTACCAGACTTTTTAATTTATCTACCAGACTTTTTATTTTATCTGACAGACTTTTTCTTTTATCTTCAGCTTGTTGCCTGGTCTGCTAGTTTTTTTTTTCTGATTTAGCTTATCTGATTATAAACCCTTAAAAGTTGCATACACTGTATAGACGATGCCAAATAAAACTTAGATAAATAATAACTTTGGCGACCAGTCGAAAGTTTGTCTATCCAGAGACGAAGATAAAAAAATGTTCAGCAGATAACAGGGGACACGCATGTGTGGACAAGAAAGATCACGTGGTCAGAGCAGACATGACCTCGTCAGCCAAACTACACCTTCAGGTGGTAATCAAAAACGAGCATCCGGTCACACAGCCAGTGAGCACACGTGAACAAGGGACCACAAGTGAACGAGTGACCACCAAGAATGGCGCGGTGTCAGACAGCCCAGCTGCCAGAACCAGACGATCGGATATTTATCAACATACTCGTCTGACAACATAGCGGGCAACCCAAACACTCCAAGTATAAATGTCACGTGAGAATGCCAGAATCTCCAGCATGATCCTGTCAGTCCCTCGACTTTTCATGAACCAACATACATCGCTATAATCTTTAAAGTTGTTAAGTTTTATGTTTTAATGGAGCATGCATCGCTGAAGTAAATTTAACAGCCACATAACCCATTTTTAAGTAAATTATTGCATTGCATTTTGAATATCGAAGTTCCTCTTGTGTAGACAAAACCTTGGTGACAATTTATATTTAAGGTGGCTATTCATTCGCTAAAGCATTCGAGTTTTCAGTGATGTATCAGCTGTTTAATTCGGCTTCTCTGTTATTGAAGTCTCATTCAGTTTAGAATTTATTTCAGTCCATAATGTTTATTCTATTGTAATTTTTACTTGTTAGTTTGTTATTGTAATGTGTTACTAAAAGTAGAATCTATATCAAAATATTTAACACAATGTTTTTCTAAGTGGTAGGCATTCTTGGTGAACTATGTACGTCCACAAAAACGTTATTAATCAATACAATTATGTAACTGTGGCTTTAACCTTCCCTTTTCGGACGTACTGTTTTTCCTTATAATTTGTATCAATTTATCCATGCTTATTTCCTGTTTAATAAGTATACTTGTGGATACTGTACATGTATGTATAAACGTTTTAAGTATACGTAATATATATATATATATATATATATATATATATATATATATATATATATATATATATATATATATATATATATATATATATCCCAGACTTGAAGGAAACCAAAAAATCGAGGAATAATGAAGACGCTTCTAGACCTGCCATAAAGACAAATAAAAATGACTCAGACTTGGAAGAAAATGAAACATCCTCAGTTTGCGAAGGTTTGAACTTTGTCACCACATGTTATAGCTTAATTTTCTTGCTCCAATTATCTTTGCAAATACCTATTGGATTTTTAGCATCTATAAAACTACCAACGTTTTTTTTTTTATTTTAAAAACTTCAGACGAGGAAACTATCGAAGCGTTGCCAATTGATTCCGGAAGTACGTCATCAAAAGCCAGCTCGCCAAGACGCGGACGGCACGAGACGAAACTCTCACTGCCCCCAATAACTAAAAACAACAACTTAGGTAACCACTCACGCGTGACCGTCGCTGATTTACACGCACCTGTCCCTCGGGCAGCAGAGGGACGGGGAAAACCAGGAGGACACACAGTGACGTCCGGCGACATGCCGTCCAAGACGTCTGGTGACGTGTCGTCCAAGACGTCCGCCTCCAAGGAAGTGACGCAAGAAGGCAGTTGGAAACACGTCAAGACCAGAAAAAATTCTCAAAAAGGTTTTTTTTTTGTTCTTCTAAATATCATTAAATATCATATAGTGAGATATTTGACGTGGGTTGTGAGATATATGACGTGGGCTGTGAGATATATGACGTGGGCTGTGATGTATAAGACGTGGGCTGTGAGATATATGACGTGGATTGTGAGATATATGTCGTGGGTTGTGAGATATATGACGTGGGCTGTGAGATATATGACGTGGGTTGTGAGATACATGACGTGGGTTGTGAGATATATGACGTGGGTTGTGAGATATATGACGTGGGCTGTGAGATATATGACGTGGGTTGTGAGATATATGACGTGGGTTGTGAGATATATGACGTGGGTTGTGAGATATATGACGTGGGTTGTGAGATACATGACGTGGGTTGTGAGATATATGACGTGGGCTGTGAGATATATGACGTGGGCTGTGGGATATATGACGTGGGTTGTGAGATATATGACGTGGGCTGTGAGATATAAGACGTGGGCTGTGAGATATATGACGTGGGTTGTGAGATATATGACGTGGGTTGTGAGATATATGACGTGGGTTGTGAGATACATGACGTGGGTTGTGAGATATATGACGTGGGCTGTGAGATATATGACGTGGGCTGTGGGATATATGACGTGAGTTGTGAGATATATATAAGGGCTGTGAGATATATGACGTGGGCTGTGAGATATATGACGTGGGCTGTGAGATATATGACGTGAGTTGTGAGATACATGACGTGGGTTGTGAGATATATGACGTGAGTTGTGAGATACATGACGTGGGTTGTGAGATATATGACGTGGGCTGTGGGATATATGACGTGGGCTGTGAGAAATATGACGTAGGGCTGTAAGATATATGACGTGGGCTGAGAGATATATAACGTAGGTTGTGAGATATATGACGTGGGTTGTGAGATATATGACGTGGACTGTGAGATATATGACGTGGACTGTGAGATATATGACGTGGGTTGTGAGATATATGACGTAGGGCTGTAAGATATATGACGTGGGCTGAGAGATATATAACGTAGGTTGTGAGATATATGACGTGGGTTGTGAGATATATGACGTGGGTTGTGAGATATATGACGTGGGTTGTGAGATATATATAAGGGCTGTGATATATATGACGTGGGCTGTGAGATATATGACGTGGATTGTGAGATATATATAAGGGCTATGAGATATTTGACGTGGGTTGTGAGATATATGACGTGGGCTGTGAGATATATGACGTTGGCTGTGAGATATATTTCACGTGGGTTGTGAGATATATGACGTGGGTTGTGATATATATGACGTGGATTGTGAGGTATATATAAGGGCTATGAGATATTTGACGTGGGTTGTGAGATATATGACGTGGGCTGTGAGATATAAGACGTGGGTTGTGAGATATATGACGTGGGTTGTGAAATATATGACGTGGGTTGTGAGATGTGTGACGGGGGGTTTATGTCTCTGGGGGTTTTTGTCCAGGGGGTTTATGTCGGGGGGTTTATGTCCAGGGGGTTTTTGTCCAGGGGTTTTTTGACCGGACACCGACGTGCGTTGTGAGATATATGACGTGGGTTGTGAGATATATGACGTGGGTTGTGAGATATATGACGTGGATTGTGAGATATATGACGTGGGTTGTGAGATATATGACGTGGGTTGTGAGATGTGTGACGTGACGATTGTGAAGTGTTTTATGAAAAATGATTTTATTTAAACTTGCGTTTACTTCAATCTTTAAATTGTAGTCTAAAAATAGCAACAACTGCAAGAAAAGACGGCGACACAAGAAAGCATTTAAAACTGATGCAGGAAATGACGTCATTCACTCAAACACAACCGAAAGTACGAAACTTGATTCAGAATCCGAAGCAGGAGACTTCGATTCGGCAATTGGGGACAGGACAAAACGTGATTCGGCAATAGAGGACAGGACAAAACGTAGTTCGGCACCAAGCGACGGGAACACGTCAACGCCGAGATCTTCAGGAAACTCGACAAGTTCTGGAAGGTCTTATCACTTTACAACTAGTGGGGACGAGGCAGGTAACGGACCTGTGTTGATTGCCATCTCTGGTAGACGTATATACGTTTCTCTAATAATTTTAACCCACCTGTAAACTAGTCATCCACAATACCCACCCACCCGTAAACTACAGTCATCCACAATATCCACCCAGCTGTAAACTTCAGTCACCCATGATATTCACTTATCCGTAAACTGCAGTCATCCACAATACCCACCCACCAGTAAACTACAGTCATCCACAATATCCACCCAGCTGTAAACTTCAGTCACCCATGATATTCACTTACCCGTAAACTGCAGTCAACCACAATACCCACCCACCTGTAAACTAGTCACTCACAATACCCACCCACCTGTAAACTACAGTCACCCACAATACCCACCCACCTGTAAACTACAGTTACCCACAATACCCACCCACCTGTAAACTACAGTCACTCACAATACCCACCCACCCGTAAACTGCAGTCATCCACAATACCCACCCACCTGTAAACTAGTCACCCACAATACCCACCCACCTGTAAACTAGTCACCCATGATATTCACTTATCCGTAA